GCTGCAGCCTGAGACAGGAAAATAGCCCCACAAGTGTAATAATGTCAAAAAGCAAAATTATTTTACGTATTATCTTCTTGCTCTTCGTCGATGTTGCCTCGGCTGTGGGTCTCTTCAAACGAATCGCCGCCAGCCGCACCGTCTGAATAGGGGCTTGATCCACCAGAATGCTGTGGTCGAAGCTTCCGTCGATGTTTGTCATGATGATGTTCATTAACATATAATAGTTGTTGTGGCTCCTGTCTACCTCTGTGCTTCCTTCTATGCATCACTCTGTGACAAAAGGACGATGATGGTGAAACAGAAAATGAACTAGAAGATGGAGAAGAAGGCGCGCGAGATGAAGAACGCGATCGCGTGTGAGAACGAGACTCAGAAAGTTGACCTCGGCCTGATTTTTGATGGCCAGAAGGTGCGTGAGAGCCGGCGCAATGATTTTCAACACTGTCATCGCTACTAGAGCCAATAATAAAGCCTTTATTAGTTACAAGGTCAGAGCCAGAAGCCAAAGCTGGAGGAAGGTCTAATGAATAGGGTTGATCGTGCCTCTTTTGATCTTCTTCATCTCCCTCTTCCTCGATTTCCCAGCGACTACGGCTTCCGAGCATCATCATGACAGAGCCACCGGGCACCGGAGGGGGAGGAGGAAGAAATGCGCGCTTTCCAGCAGAACCACTAGTCTTGGAATCTATAACATGAGCGTCAGATGGATGTTTTTGGCCCTGCCGATGATCCCCCATTGAAGTATCTCTTGTTGGGTCATCAGGACGTTCACGGCGACGTCGCTGGTCTTCAGACCGCCTGATTTGAGACTGAGCCTGAAGTCGAGACCTTTCCCTGTCTTTTTCATGCGAACGCTGCTTATTGAAATCGATGCCTCCGTCGACCTGATCATGAGTGATGCCAGGTCTGACTTCCTCTTCAACTCTGGCTTGCGATTTTCTCAAAGATAATTGACTATCAGAGGGCTTTTTTGTCAGGCTACTTGTTGAGGATTCTAAATCATGATCTCGCTCGCGATGTTTATGTTTATGATGTAGGCGACGATGTTGACGCGATGAAACATCTTCCCTTGGTCCATATTGACTAGGTTTGGAGAGCTGTGATTCCTGTGATGACAACGACTGAGAAAGCAAAGATCGGACTTGTGCGTCCAATACCTCTGATTCTATTCGCTTTCCATTACTCTTATCTTTGCCTCGTTCACGCTTGTGATGGTGGTGATGGTGATGACGCCGTTTCTTCCCAGTTTGACTAGAGGGGCTCCGTGAATAAGGAGAATGAGATGAAGTAGAAGATGAATGAGATGATGTAGAGGATGGTTGAGGAGCTGGAGAAGTATAAGGTACAGAGGTATATGGTGACGTCACAGGATGGGAATGAGAAGGAATGAGTTTGTTGTCTCTATCTGAGGAAGATGAGGAATGTGACCTCGCTCTGGTAACAGCACGATCCAGACTAAAGGAGTCTGCAAATGATAACGACGTATGCGCCTCAGCCTTCGACAATTCGGATCGACTCCGGCTGCGTGTACGAGTCTTTTTGCGCTTATGGGAAGATTTTGAAGAGTCAGATTGCCGAATAGTCTTTGTGGACACATCTTTTGATGTGGGAGTTAGAGTAGGATATCGTTGATCCAGAGTTTCTGATATCTTATTTCCACGTCGTTCCTTGTCTTCCTTTACTAGTCGAGATTGAGAAGAAAAACAAGAATCACGAAGGCGAGTGCTTTCTTGATCCTTGTATTTATTTTCGCCATTAAATGGAGCCACAATCCGTCCACTATTCTTATGTGGCAAGCAAGAATCACAATTAAGATCGGAAGAATTTAGAAGTCGGTCGGTATCAGCTTCGTGGGAAACTTGATGCGAGTCTGAGCTGTCGAAAGTTTCCGTATCAACCTCATTCCACTTGAGAGGGTTTTCTATGGAAAAAAATATGGAGCATATTAGTGGAGTTATTATAAAAATGAAAAATATTGGCAAAAAGAATAAGGAATATCAATATCTTTTATAATAAATGAACCAAATTAACTCGAGATATGTACCGAAGACCCAAAAATATAATTGCATTAGATGGATACTGACTGAAGTAAACAAATGCTAAATTTAAAAATAGTAACGAAATGTAATTTTAATAGATTTGAAATTTTAAAAACATTAAAATTAGAACGGGTTGAAACAATAAGCGGGACTATTCACAATTGAACAATAAAAAGATCGCCTCATAACTATAGGGATTATGTGCACATTATCCCCCCCCCAGAATATAGAATTAATATACGAAAAAGCTGGTTACGAAGAACTACCTGAATCATATTGTCATGGAGACTTATTTTGTGCGAAGGTACATGATGAAGAGATTCGTATTTGAACCTCACCAGGATGCAAGGGCAGGTTCCCATTGTACTGCAGCCGTTTGGCTATAATACTACGTTCAGGTTGATGAGATACACTAAAAGGGTCTTGTTTTCGTTTTTCGTATGACAAAGATTATTATGGTTGGGACTTATTCTTGCAAGTCTCAGGTTACCACTTCTTGGCTTTTTCAAGAATGAGTTCCAGCACTGCTGATGAACGAAAGATTTGCCTGTTTTCACACAAAACCACAAAGGATGTCTCATGTAGTACAACTAAAAGAGTGGTCGTCTTTTGGAGTCCCCAACAGTATATTTTAAAAGTGATAAGAATGACAGCCTCCCAAGTTATGAGACCGTATAACCATAAATATTT